CCGTCCTCGGATCTTAAGGTCCCTAATAATGATGAATTGACGGCGGGGGGCTCAGCATAATTGGCTTTGCGGCCTAGAAGGTGATGATGTCGCCATTTTTACTACTTTTTGTTTACAAAATGCACCAGCTTCATCGTCTTATCTTATCTCCACTCTCCAGACCTTATTCAAGTCAAATCAAATTAAAACCTTTCTTTAAACACGATGACGTGTGAAGCGGTATTGTAACTTGAGGGGTTGTGAATATCTCTCTTCTGCATCGTAATTAGTTGAGCCAGGGCAAGGGTTTGGATCTTTACTAGCAGTGGTTGCAATTGCTTACGAGGCTTTATTCACGGCACAATTGAGGTCGCCTAGTGATAGATCCTCAAAAATCACAGCTGCTAAAAGACTTGTCCCATCCCCCTCCCTTTCCACACACACTCACATATACCAAAACGACACACATACAGACCCTCTCACCGGCTGTTTGCCTGTTCCATTCATTCAGCTGAATGACTAAAACACTAGCCGCTGTTTGAGACATCAGAAAGGTTATTGCTAATGCCACCTTGGCTCTGTTTCACTTCAATCACTGCTTGGCTCTGTTTCACTTCAATCACTGATTGCTATCTCTTCCCAATTATCGCCTGTTGTAAGGAAGATTTACCTGGCCATTAGCGGTATTCTTTTAGTGCACAGCCGGAAGCGGCTATGTGTGTGGCAACCAGTCAGCAAAGCAGTTGTTTTTCGTTTAAACCTGAAAAGGGGTACGGTGCATGTCTACTTTAACTTACAATAAGTTGTCTTTGCATTAACTGTTCATTTGTAACTTTGAATTCATTTCAGGTGACCGACCAAAGTATTTATTTATATGTTGGCGTCGTCGTCATCGGTGTTTTGTTGTTGTAGTTGCCTCACTAGGGCGCTTCTGCTTCAAGGAAGAACCAATGAGAGAGCTATTTTATATCACGTCACTTGGACGGTATAAAAACACGCTTCCTGAATGTGCACGATCACTTTTGCCAAGGATGCCGAGTACTGTCAGCATGGTAAGTGTTGAGTTGACCTACTTTTCGTAGCTATTTTCTCGCTGTCCTTGCATCATATCGAGTGATGCTAATTAGAGTTACCGCAAATACCAGATACTATGTTCACAATTAATGTAATGTACAAAGTCGCGATGATTTGAAATCACAGGTACTACTCTTTTACAAAGTATGATCGTTGACTGCATGATTTCTCCTTTAAATGGCAATAAGTGAAGAAAGTAGACATCGGTCTGTTTTCAATAGCTGTTGCTAAAAATATTGTTTTCCAGGACGCTTTACCTTCATTTCAGATCTTCGAAGTATTTTCATTAACTTTCCTGCCATTTTTGGAAGTTAGTAACTTTTTTTATCTCGCTTGTTAGCTGGAGGCTTCCAAAATAGTGTGTGCCTCTCAGAACGCCACAAAAAACATTGTGTTGTTTAATAGCAAATTGTGGATCCAACCGTTCCCTACATTTTTCAAAACACAAAATCATTTACTAGTTTCTGCAGTTACTGCTTTGATTTTAGTGGCAACCGTAATTCTTACACGTTGTGTTTCTGTCTTATAATAGATTGTGTCAGAATTTCAGGCGTCTAAATGTGGTTTATAAATTGATTTGAAGCTAAAGAACGGACGAAAAAACTGGTGAGTCTCATTTTTCCTCATTGTCGTGAAGACCATGAAATAGAATTTTCACTGTCGCTTAAGTTTACAATTATAGGTTTCTAAAGTTTCCAACTATCCCTCCTGGGATAGAGAACCCACCTTGTATTTGCGACGAGGGACTCTTATAGTAGTGTTTTTTTTTTTATGTCTTTCGTAGATTTGAATGGAATTTCAGGCGTCGCAATGTGGATTATAAATTGATTTGAAGCTAAAGAACAGACGAAAAAACTGGTGAGTCTCATTTTTCCTCATTATCGTGAAGACCATGAAATAGAATTTTCACTGTCGCTTAAGTTTACAATTATAGGTTTCTAAAGTTTCCAACTATCCCTCCTGGGATAGAGAACCCACCTTGTATTTTCGACGAGGGATTCTTACAGTAGTGTTTTTTTTTTTGGTGTCTTTCGTAGATTTGAATGGAATTTCAGGCGTCGCAATGTGGATTATAAATTGATTTGAAGCTAAAGAACGGACGAAAAAACTGGTGAGTCTCATTTTTCCTCATTGTTGTGAAGACCATGAAATAGAATTTTCACTGTCGCTTAAGTTTACAATTATAGGTTTCTAAAGTTTCCAACTATCCCTCCTGGGATAGAGAACCCGCCTTGTATTTGCGACGAGGGATTCTTACAGTCGTGTTTTTTTTGGT